CATATTACGTCAATAATTCGTGGTATCGATAGTAGAGGGAAATCACCTATTATGAGGTAGGTATCTAATATGAGATAACAAGTTTTCAACACCCGAATTTAATCACAAATCGTTTTTCGCAACGATTAACCAATCTAACAATGAATTTTTTACTAAACAGATTTCGTTCCAAGGGCAACAAATTTATAATGAACTCAACAGATGAGGCCTATTAATTTAATCGAAATTCCGCTATCTCATAACAGGGGACTTTTCTCTATTATTTAAAAAAAAGATAAATTAGTGTCTTCGGAGTTTATTAAAGCATATATGTAAATATAATAAACAAAATCAGGCTACAAGAGCACTGGCCGTGGAACTCTCGTATTTCCAATTCGGTGGCAGGGATCCCTTTGCTTTGTAATAACGTGCCAACCTGTGGATTCTCGACTCTACGAGAATCAAGCGGAATTTACTATCCTTATCCTTGCGATTTCGCTCCAGGTGCTTGCGCACGGCAACGGCCTTCTTGATCAGATAGTACAGATCCTCTGGCAGATCAGGGGCCAGGCCCATGCTCTTCACGATGCGTAGAATCTTGTTTCCCGTACGGAATCGCACCTGCGCCACTCCATGCGAGTCACGAAGTATGACACCTGGGGAGAAAAACACGCGTACATTATACACCATTTCCTCCTGCCACTTTAACGACCCTTAAATTTGATAACATTCTACGAATGTCAGCGGTTACCTATTATGAACTGACAATGTTACCATGTTCATATCAAACACTGCTTGTTAATCTCGCAAACGTGTTTGTCAAGGAGATCAAATTGAAGATTCTAAGATCTCCCGCGGATAGTTTGCTTTCAAGTACACCAGTTCCTCCTGGTAAATTAGCAAGATCCACGACGTCTTCTATTAGCAAAAATATGAATAAATTATTAAAATTACCAATCTGAGATGGCGTGTGCCCTTTCTTCGCTAGCTTGTAGATAAGTTCCTTGCAATCCTCCGGTGTCAGCTTCAACCAAGTTGGTACACTTCGTCGGTAGGGAAGCGCCGACTGGGATATACCCTTTCTGAAAGAGAACAACCGCCGTCACATACACTGTTTCTATTATAGAATATATGTATAAGATTAGCCAAGGTAGGAAATTAATAGTCACAAATCGACACAACTGGCAAATTCTGATTAAAGAAATTTATTATGAAAAATATTGCCAGTTGTATCGACTATTAATCTCCTACATTGGTTAATTATTTACTGGCAACAAGAAGTCTTTATTCTTGTTATAAAAGATAAGCTCTTTGTCATCGAACACGGTTTCATTACACAGGCAGGGATTGATGATAGGCAATCGTGTCAGTTCAGTCTAGTTAAATACACATGCTTGAGGGATATTCTATGGACATTGCATCTGCAGGCTGAACCCTTACGCCGTCGCAATTGTACGAAGCATTTTTTCGAGGAGTGGGAGAAGGAATATTCCGCCTAAATGCGAGTAGTATAAGCTGCCTTCAAGGGAGATATTACATTTGCCGTACGATAAACTTTCCAGCCTGCAAGCAATCAATATACTTAAAAAGTTTATCGTACGAAAAATGTAATATTTTTTTAATTCTCCCTTTATAGGAAAGCCGTTTTTTTTCTTACTATCTTTCCTGTATTCTTATCTTCTCTTTACTCTGCCTTTGCAGTTAGTTATCCTCCGGGCCCTATTTGTCGCCTCTTACGACACGGAAGGCTAGCCGGATGATTTATTCATCGGCGAATCGACACGCTAACAAACGTAATATCGCCCTGCCTTAAAGTCTAATCCATAATGTACATATAATATCTAGAAACATTCTATTTTGTAGTCGATAAATACGTTTAAAAGATTTGCGGAAGTGGATAAATTGCATATTATACACTGTACAATTGTACATTGTCGACAAGTTTTTTAAGCGTTTCGATTTATTTATATAAAACAAAATGATTCTAGACGCAAACAGCACATTGTAGATTAAGCTAATTCTATTTTATATAAGTAAATCAAAATGCTCAAAAAATGTATCGACAATATATGCTTGTACAATATATAACGTACAGTTTATCAACTTGACATACATTTTTTCAACGTATTTATTAACTATAAAATAGAATGTTTTTAGATGCAAAGATTGTAGATGAGACTTTTGGGTCGTCCAGCGCAGGTTGCACCACGCGTACACGCGCTAAGTTAGGTTAGGTTATATGCTCGGGGAAGTCAGCGTGCTAGACCCGGGGCGAAAACCACGGTGCGTTGAAACGGCTGAATCATTACTGACTGACAGTTGTGCACTTTAAATTATGTATATATACACATATATATATATATAAAGATCGAGGGATAATTGGTAATTCGAGCAGCAAGAACAGGCACCAAAGCCGCAAACACATGGTCGCCTCGATCGGGCACGCAGCCAGAGCATCTTGATGGAGAGAAACCTGGTGCCGCGAAAATCGCGAGCGTCGCGACGAACGGGAGATCGCGTGGATAATGAGTTACAAGTATCGTTACGTTACCCATGTGAGTGCATACGACCCATTTTGACGGATTTTCCTCGAACAGGAACGACGTCGAAAGAACCACGAAGAAAGAACGTGAAAGGGAACTGCGAAAGACGGTAACGCCCTCTGTGACTGGCGGGGAGGTTTGGCCACAGTATACTGATATACAGTAAGTACGTCCTTCGTTTTGATTCAGCCGCGCAGATTTGCTTGCGCATCTTAAGCGGCCATGTTTTTGGAAGCACCAATCACGTTCGAAGTGAAGAGTTCATGAGTTCATCCAGAACATTGGCCGCATTCAGCAGACACGCAATTGCATGGACGCGGAACGTGCGCAATGCGGAATTGGCGGAACGAAGTCCATCCAATCACAGGCATTCTGCCAAATGTGTTCCGCCGAAAAATATTTTCTAATGTCCCATGGTGCGGAATTTGCGGAAGCGCAATTAGCGCTGGCCAATAATATACGCTATTCCGATAGTTAGAAAGTAGAATCTATAGGAAAGATTCTTGTAATTGGCCAGCGCCAATTGCGCTTCCGCAAATTCCGTACCATGGGACATTAG